GGTAAAGTGGAATGAACGTAATCATCCCAATCGATCGAGACCACAGCCTCATTCAACCCGAGGATGAGGTCCAACGGATATGCCTTAATGCGCTCCAGGATGGATACCCTGCGCAGTAGACGTTTTGCCATGGAAGAACGTGTTTGTTTGTTTTCGCGATACTGCAAGGCAGTTGTATCAACACATCTACTACTCGTCAATGGAGGACACACTATCCCGTGCCAGAAGGGGCAATGAGGCATTGCATCAGCTGCTTAAGCTGCTTATGAATGACAGGACGGAACTTAGGCCTCATAGGGAGGATAATAGGACATTTTTTGAGGAGTTCAAGAGTAACATCGAGGCGATCAAGAAGAGCCATTACACGCCCGAGGCTAAAGTTACGGAAAACGACAAGGAGAACTTGGGAAAACCGAAGAAGGATGCCACAAATGATGAAATCACAGAGAATGAGACGCGAGCGGGTCGAAGCAAGGATATGCTATTGTCGAAGCTCGACCGTCAAAGTATCAGTATCGAGACGCTTGAGGCTGAAATCAGAAAACTTCGGCTCCAAAATCAACAATTACGAGAGACCAACTTCGGTTTAAAGGAACGAGCAGAGAGGGAAAAGGAAATGAGAGAACGTCTTGAAAAAGAGAGTCAGAAGCCAGTCAAGGCCCCGAGCAGACCTCGAGAGTCTGCAGCGAAAGTGCAATTTGTGCCTCAGGCCGATGCAGCCCAAATCGCGAAAATACACCGCCAGGAAAACACAATCGATCAGCTACGCACCGGCTTGGCTCTAGTGCACGAACGGTACGAGGAAGCCAAGCGAAAGTGGGAGGCGAGCGTGGCTGTGAGTGCTTTTCAAGAAAGGGTAATTGTGGATCTTAAGGCAAATTTGGGCCAAGGATATCAGCAACCTTCGGACCTCACAGAGCAGCTTCTCAGTGGCTGCGAAATTGACTCTAGCGACGATCGCGCAGACACCACCCAGTTGATTCTTGGGCGTCCGAGCGGAAGCCCCTACGACCATCTAGGCCAAGGCCACAGCCGATTCAAGGCAGCAGCACTTGCGGTACTTTTCACCGTGAGAGCAAGGCGGGCCGTCGAGAAGGCACGCAGGGAGAAACTAATTTAAGGCGACGTAAAGAAAAAAAAAAAAAAAAAAAAAAAAAAAAAGCAACAAGTTTTGACGGGTTTAGCGGTTTGTGCTTTATCAGCGAGGTCCAAGGCGAGCGCTGCGTCCGACCTATTGAGGCAAGTGCGGGCCAAGCTACTGGCAAGGGGCCATCAACCACAATGGCAAATATGGGGCGGAGTGGGCAAAAAAAAAAAAGTTAAATTATCAAGGGGCAATTTCAGCATCCATTGAACCACACGAGGTGAAATTGGCCCGTCAAATTGTCAAGTCTTGTGCAATTAATGTGGAGGGATATGTCAAGTCTAATGATATAAGGTGGCAGCATTACAGGTAACCTTACTTCAAATGAGGCAAGCACATGGAGGAAACGCCAATGCACTTCGTCAAAAGCGGTGAATCGGCGGCAGCGGCTTGACGGCCAAAGAACAGAAACAACTTCCAAACGGCGATGTTTCTGGAAGCCCGGGCGGTGCTTCTTTATTTGTTTGTTTTGCAGCCACAAAAAATAACCTTGCGCCCATCAGGCGAGGTCACTCACTCATTCCGGGCCGAGCGTCACAGAGATGCGGATTACTCGGACTGCAAGCGACTACCACTACACCGCGAGCCATAATAAAAACCATTCATTCTGCTACGCTTTGCAACGGAGCATGACAGGCCAAGTAAGGCGGTTATGTTGGCTCGGCAGGCTTGGGCTGGGTTGCGGGACAGACGCTGGTCAAAAATAGCACACTGCGTCGCCTCTGGACTGCACACACGCTACGCTCCCCCATACACCTAGACCTTCGCCGCCTCTAGACCTTCCTCCCTGCGGCATAGTCGCCCTGCGCCAGTTATCGCGCATAGCTTGCATTCTTTATAAGCACCGGTTTTCCACCTTGCTTCCTTCCTCAGCTCCCACGCTGCGATGATGAAAAATGTCCCTTCCATCGTCACAGAGCCTCCTCGAGACCAAAACATCGCAAATCCAATGAAGGTCACTTCGGGGCTTCCATACCTTTATGTTAAACTGCCTCAGTCCACTAGCCCCACCACCAGATCACACTTTAAGGACTTGCCTGACGACGTTGTGGCGGTCCGTAGTGACGAGCCCAAAGCCATCAAATCCTTTTTAGAAGGCAATTCCTTGGCGATTGACATTCGTCCTTTCAATAATTATCTGGCCTCTCGCCTTGAAAACGCATACAACATCTGCATTCCTACTACGCTTTTGAAGCGACCAAATTATGACCTTGCCCATGTTTCCAACTCCGCTGCTTTGCCCAAAGAGGTGAAGGATCAGCTCACTGCAAGCACAGAGCCTACAAGGGTTTTGGTATACGACGCTAACAGTGGCACCGGTCACATCTCGTTTAGCTTGTTTCAAACGATACAAAAATTTCTCAAGCATGACAGGTTTACTGTCGGGTATCTCGACGGCGGTTACCAAGATCTAGACAAGCTGCTTCGAGATGAGTCAGCCCTTCTGTCGGATCAAACTCCAGTCTCTCCCGAGACTCCTCTGCATCCCGTGTTAGACGCTGTTAGGCCGGACTCTGCCAAGGACGGATTCGCCCAGTCACCCGGTGACTCGAGTCGTGAGTCTTCGCCTTTTCTCTCGGGGTTCACACTCCCTTCGGCCACAGCGTCTAACCAAAAAATGTTGATGTCAATCAAGAAAACACTACCGCGGATAGACACCACCACCACATATAGCTACAAGCTCCGATTCCCCGAAGGTTTTGAAGAAAAGAAAGATAAGCTCCCTCGTTGGTTGGCTTTCTTTGCCGAGGGCTACGGTACGGAGGGTCACAATGAAAAGGTGGTCAGCGTATTGAGCGATAAGTTCAACAAGCTTGAGCGTTCAGAGCAGGTCCGCTTAAGCATGGCCATTTCAAACACTAATGATGAAAAATCAGAGAAGGGGGTCCAATCCGAGAAAGTCGCTCTCACTCCCGGCAAGCTTCATTCGGGTCTTAGCAGTGGGTATTGCTCCCCGCTGGCACCATGTCCACATTGCGACAAGATTCACTACACCATTCCAAAGGGTGTAGAGTACGGCTACAAGAACCGCTACAATAACATCTGGCCTTATGAACACTCCCGTGTGAAGCTTGTATCTTCTCCCTCTTGCTCCAACGCCAAGAAAGAGTCTGCGGATGACTACTTCAATGCCAATTACATTAAGTGCAAACAGCTCTCTCTTACTGAGTATATTGCTACACAAAGTCCATTAGAATCTACGAAAGAAGATTTCTGGAATACTGTGTGGTACAATGGTATCAAGGGCATTGTGTGCCTCAACAAGCCATCCGTCTTTGCTCCACAGGCATACTACGAGGTGAATCAGCATTTTGAAAAGAGTGACCTTTCTGTGACCATCAAGTCTACGGAAGACAAAGAGGGTTTTACTGTCCGTAAGATGGAATTGGAAAAACACGGCAAGACCCGCATTGCATATCATTTTGCCTACGCTGACTGGCCTGACTTTGGTGTTCCCGACAACTTCAAGACTGTTTCACGTCTTTTGGAGAGCAAAAACGAATGCATCGAGTTGCTCAAAAACCAACAACCTCCAACATCTAAAATTACTCGCTCGCTTGATTTACTTGTCCATTGCTCAGCAGGGTGTGGGCGTACTGGATGTTTCATCACGCTCGATATGGTTAAAGATTGCTTTAAAGGCAAAAGCAATGGGAAGTATGACCCCTGGGGAACAAAAGATCTCGTCTACAAGGCGGTGCAGCTTCAACGCCAGCAGCGTATTGCAATGGTGCAGACGCTTGACCAGTTCATCTACTGCTATGAGAGCATTTTGCATGAGATCTTCGAAAACTATATGTGAGTAACGAGACGTACGAATTAATGAATAATGCAAGATATAGAAGTATCACACGGTAGAGAAGTAGGCTTTTCCTGCTGGCGTGCAGCAGGATGACGTAGCTTGGTTGCTAGCTGCATGCGAGGCTTAATTTGGCAATGTAAATCCATTTGGCTTCACCATATTGTACACATAGACCTAGGTTATAGTTTATTTCCATTTTCCCCAATGTCTTCACATGGCCAGCAAAGTCTAGAACAGTGCGAGGGCTTCAAAGTCAGACGCATAATGACTTAACCACACGTTGCGCATCCCAAATAGTATACGGTCACGATCTAACGCCTGGCTGCACGGTTATGAGAAGTGTCAACCCCAATTGGCCAATTATAATGTAAATACCAAGATATCTCAAAGTCATTGGGTCTTAACTCAAGTAACACTGCTGGTCACAAAATTGCCGTGTTTTGGTCTTAAGAAATGCAGGGGGCATTTGGTCTGTTTTGGTAATTTCCAGTGTGCATCGTAGAGTTTCAGACTTGTTTACTCCAGCGCTGCTAAACTTTTTCAGAGAGGGGCTTCAAAGTTTATATTTTGAACTGCCGGGTCCATACAAGCTTTCGATTCTTGAAATGGTTCGATGGAAAAGATGTAGGATTTCCAATCTTTGTTTATCACCTAATTGGTCTTATGTCAGTGGTGGTGCATCCGGACGATATAAGGCGGGCCAAACTGATTTACCCACTGCTTGCTTCTGACTGCAAATTTGTAATCTTCAACTTTTGAATGCATTGAGGATGGAAACTATTAAACTTTTTATTGAAAGAAATCTCATTGACCAAATCATTGGTCTCACTCTCACTCTAGGTCTCTCCAGACCGGCTTCTCCAGTCGCAGCCATTCACACAGGAATCCCATTGCGATGGACCATACTGGCAACTTCATGAAACACCACTGATGCCCGACGATGATACAAATATCCGGCAAATTTCTTACCTTCTCAATATACTAGGGAAATCCAAGCGATCTGAAAGCTTTGAATCTCTAACGCGTCCAAACATCTCAGCTTCCATGACTACCATGTTAACAGCCCCACCCATAGCAGAAGACGATTATTTATGTGAGACGACAGTGGAGCAGCAAAATGTCCTGGATACCATCAAAGACATCTACGAAAAGTTGCTCAATGAAAGCAACCGAGATGAAGTGTTCAACAATGAGATCAATGTCGACCTTCACTTGAAGTACGTGGAGCTGTACTTGGACGAGCCGTTGCCTGATCCTTACTACGTGCTAGATGCTTCACAACTGTGGGTGATCTACTGGCTTACAAATGCACATGTTACTCTTAGTGGAGAGGATCTTCTGGACGATTTGAAACAGTTAGTTTCGCAAAAGGTCAATTCGTTAGTGATCGATGAAGGCAGAGGTGGCATTGCTGGTGGACCCAACATGCATATGGGCCATATGGCGTCAACCTATGTGCTTTTGCTTCTGCTCGTGCTAGTAGAAGATTTTGCAAGTGTGGATAGAATTAAGGACAATTTGCAGGGTTGGCTTCTTTCATTGAAGAATGACGATGGCTCTTTTGCAATGCACAAAGGAGGCGAAAGTGATACTCGTTCTACCTACTGTGCTCTTGTTATAAGCTCACTTTTCAATATGGACACCACTGAGCTTTGGGCTGGAACCCGTCAATGGCTCTCGTCGTGTCAAACATATGAGGGGGGCTTTTCTGGGGTTCCAGATACGGAGGCACATGGTGGATACACTTATTGCGCCGTCGCTGCATTCTATTTGATGGGCCATCAAGAAGGTGACTTCAATGAAGCCCTGTTACTACGTTGGCTTGCTGACAGACAATTGAGTTTGGAAGGTGGGTTTTCCGGAAGAAGCAACAAACTTGTGGATGCTTGTTACAGTTACTGGGTCGGCGGTGCATTTGCTTTGCTTGAGTCTTCGATTGGAACAGATGTGTTTAATAAGGAAGCCCTCATCAGCTACATTTCCAATTGCTGCCAAGATCTCAAGCGTGGTGGGTTGAAAGACAAACCCGGCAAATCACCAGACTTTTATCACACCAACTACGCTCTTTGTGGCTTAAGCATGGCAGAGTACCGCTTCAAAAATGATAAAGGAGATGCCTACTCTTTTCTGGCTGAAGAGAGAGTCGCAGGCTCGAGCTACACCATTCCAGTGAACCCAGCTTTTGGGGTACCAGTTCGCTCCATCGATAAAGCATACAAGCATTTTCATAGAATATAAATCATTCGGAATAAAGAAAAATACATTTTAAAGCAAAAAGAATGCGATTTCTGTGGATCGAACACAGGACCTCCAGATCTTCAGTCTGACGCTCTCCCAACTGAGCTAAAACCGCTTCCAAGAACCCACGCCGGGACTCGAACCCGGAATCTTTTGATTAGAAGTCAAATGCGCTAACCATTACGCCACGCAGGCGAGTTCTGAAACTTGTTGCACCCCGCTGAAAACTTATCAAGTGAAGTTTTTAGTATGTGTCAGTCTGCCTTTAAAGTTTTGTGATTTGTTTTTGAAGTTGGAAGTAAGTTGCACACAAATTTTCAGCGCTATAGCCCCCGCGGATCGTGAGTTATACCACTTTTAAGTTTTGTGTCACGTGCACCTCATACAAATACGCAGCCTACTCCCGTATCTCTACTACACGCCACTCCATTACATGAGCTCATGGTCCAACTTTTTCGGAAGGCGGCAATATGAGCTGCTTCCCACGACAAATGACCCGCCTCAAAACCTTCCTGGAACTTATCCGGCGGAAGAAAGCACGGATGCATCACCAAGTTCCCCTTCAATTGGAAATCGCATAGCCAAGTGGTTGATCTTCTTGTTCATTGCACCCATCACAGTTGCAGCAGTGGTCACCCTTTCAATTCTTTCCAAGTTCTTTTCCTTCCTATATTTGGATGACAGCGAAGCTCAGCGACGCAGATCCGCATCGGAGACAGCGACAACTAGCTGTAATGCCCTAATGAATGACCCTATCAGCAAGGTTGAAAGGTTTGTCAGGGCTCTAGAGGAGAATTTGCTGCCGGAACAGCTATACTCTTCAAATAATCCTGACCGCAATGTGGCTGCCTTGCCTCCTTTTTTCCAAGGCAGCTACACTCAAGCACTTTACATGGCAATCAATCGAGGCAAATTCTTGTATGTCTATTTGACGAACCCAAGCAATGAGAGCTCGAGCTCCATCTTCGATCATGTTGTCACCAACCCAAAGTTTATCTCCATTTTCACCTCAGAGAATAGAAATAACCAAAACATAATATGGGGCGGAGACCTCACAAACCTGGAAGCATATCAATTGGCTAACAGTTTAAATGTCACTAAATTTCCATTTTTGGGCGTTCTTTGCCTTACAAGGACGTCTACGATGACACCACAGGGTCCTTCAAAAACTCCACCTAAGATATCTTTGATCCTGAAGATCCAAGGAGGTATAGGTGAAGGTGACCCAGACAAGCTAATTCAAAGCAAATTCATCAAGCGTGCTCTCAAGTACGAACCCGAACTAGCGCTCATTAGAGCTGAACTAAAAGATAAATACATGTCTGAAATGGTACGGAAACAACAGAATGCAGACTACCAACAGTCACTCCTCAAGGATAGACAAAAGAAGGCTCAAAAGGCTCAGAAAAGACTTGCAGCTGACTACCTTCGTTGGAAGCAATCTCACATTCTTGGGCTTAGACTGCAGCAGGATGTTCGAGAAGGGAAAGCCAGAATCGCAATTAAGATGGCCGGTGGAAACCGTGAGACATTCTACTTCCCGGAAGACTCGCCCATTGAGGATATCTTTTTATTCGTTGAGCTACATCAGAAAAGCCTTTTGGAAGAGGAGTCGAACTTCACCCTTTCACAAGTCGAAGCAGAGGAGAAGTTCCGGGATTTCTCATATCCTTACCAATTCCGCCTCGTTTCTCCAGTTCCACCTTTGCCTCTGCTTAGTGACTACGACAAGAGCACGCCAGTAAAGGACGTTGGATTCATCTACCCCAGCGGCCTTCTCATGGTTGAGAGGCTCTGATTCTTGCATCTCATGAATTAAGTGTATAACGTAAATTTCGCTTAAGGTTTTGTGACCTTGCTTTTCTTTGCCTTCTTCTTTTCCTTCTTCTTCAAGCCGACGAAACCTGTTTTAAGGGCCTGGGCGTACTCCAACCAGAATGCATCCAAGTTGGCTGGCTCCACCACAGTCGATATCTTGGAATCTTTCTTTCCCAATGTGGCACGAATGAGCACTGGGTAAGTCTGTGTGTTGGTGGGGTATGCTGTAGGGTGTTCCACGACGTTGGAGGAAAGGTCTTTAACCAGATCAATGGATTCCTTTTCTAACGGCGTCGACAATCTTTTCTGTGTGAAGTAGACAGAGCTCTTGCCCTCATTGGACGCTAGTATAGCCTCCACTTTTGATATGAATTCTGCATTGTTCAATCTGCCCATGGTGACGTATATCTTGGTTCCTCTATGTGGTTTCTCTGCTTCTTTTTTCCACCGCTCAATGGTATACAGGTGAGGCTCTACCAGCGTGATAAGAGCCTAGGACCATCAAGCCTGACGGAACAAGGAACATCCATTTTGTGTGAATTGTCATCTGCATGAGCTGCTACTTCTGTTTGGACGGCTTTCTGGTAAATATTACTGCAGTATCAAGGGAGAGTAACGAGCAAAGCGACTTGGAGTTGACCTTCTAGCCTCTTTCTTCCCAGCCGAAAACTTCTGGGAGGCTTTTCATTTCAATTCAGGTCATTCTTGATGGTTATAAAAGCAAAATTCAAGTTGTGTTGTAGATTTTGGGTTGAGTTGTGGACTACGTATTTAGTATGAGATCCCGTAAATGGTTGCGAAAATCATGAATTCCTACTCAAATCCAGCTCAAATCCAGCAAAGGGCGTAAAACAGGCACCACTACTATTTTCAACCACTGTTCCAACTTTTACAATTAACTCAAATGTAAAGATCTTTTGCCCCATTGATACTTTCTGCCCCGGGAAAACCCGAAGAGACTAATTCCTTCACCATAGCCACAGTATACACGAGAGACAGTTTCCTTCCAAAGTGACTAGCTCGTTGAAATTCCGAGTAACTGCCAAAATGCTCTTAATTCAGTCCACTTTAGTAAAAATTCATGTCTGTGTATCTTGCCTCGAAATTTTCACACCTTCACATCCCCATTCTTCCCTAGTGAGATAATGCAATGATATTGCGCAACTTGATCTCACATCAACCACATCTTCCACCACCCTAGCTACTGCATTCGATGCAATAGTAATAGATCGCTCGTTTAATATGGCTAGTCATACGTTTGCCAGGTTTACGGCACTTATCGTGTCTGTATTTGTGGCCTTGGTAGCTGGAACTCCATACTTGTATGGCATCTATGCTCCACAATTAGTCCGTCGAGTGGGCCTTTCCACCTCCAAAGCGGCCTCCATTTCGTTAGCCGTGACTGTTGGAACAGGATGTGGTGGCCTTCCAGCTGGTCTTTTAATTGACAACTTCGGGCCGAGTTTGCTGATCATCATTGGATCTTCATGTATTTTCCTGGGTTACTTCATCTCCAACCGCATATACGCTCTCCAAATTCCAAGCCTTCCATTGATCTGTATCGCCATGTGCTTAGTTGGGTTCGGATCAGGAACCACATTCTTTTCGTGCTTGAAAGCAGCGCAGGCCAACTTCCCTCATCACAGAGGCTCTGCTAGTGCTATGCCAATTGGTGCATACGGTCTTTCTGCTACAGTGTTCCTGTTGGTAGCAGCTACATTCTTTGCCGACGACACAGGGCAATTGCTTTTGTTCTTGTCGCTCGTCTGTGGAGCAGTGGCATTTTGTGGCTCTTGGTTCATTCATGTCTACGATCCAGAAGGTACCGCTGTGGACGAGGAATCCAACAGACGCGAGCCTCCAGAGCTTCACCGTCTGTCTTCGTTCTTGGGAAAACTTGCATTTTGGGGTCTCAACAAGTCGGACTCTAGCTTGAACTCAGAGCAGCGCCCTCTTTTACAGAATCAGCCTAGTCCCCGGAAAGCTCCACTGAGAGCCCCAGTAACCACTTCAACAATTTCAACGGACACAGAATTAATCAAATCGCTAAAAAGGTTGGACTCCCCAAAAGACATTGTCACTGCATTGCTCACAAACAGATTGTACCTCACCCACTTCCTCATCTTATCTTTATGTAGTGGGATGGGCCAAATGTATATTTACACCGTGGGCTTTATCGTACGGGCACAGTTCTTTTACGATCCTGGGCTGTTCACAAGCCCTGCGTCCCTTCAAGCATTGCAAGTGTCGGTGATATCAATCTCGCAATTCTTCGGCCGGATAGCAGCTGGTATGCTATCGGATATTGTCAAGAAGAAACTCAAGGCTCAGAGGCAATGGTTGGTCTTAGTCTCCATAGTTCTCATGACAGTTGCACAAACGTTGCTTAGTTACACCAATAGCGTGCATCTATTGACATTGGTATCTGTCATTATGGGCAGTGCTTATGGAATGCTCAACGGCAACTATCCCTCGATTTTTGCAGATACGTTCGGAACGAAGCACTTCACTACTGCGTGGGGACTTTCGTGTTCCGGCCCGATCATACTCCTCTATCCCCTTCAGCTATACTTTGGTTGGATTTACGATTCACACGCGGAGGAGAACGGCAAATGCTACCAAGGCAAAGACTGTTATAGAGGAGCATTCCAAACAAGTATAGTCTTGAGTTTGATAACTTTTGCGATCACCTCAGCACTAATTTACCGCCATAGAAAACACTAAATTATCATGACACATAAAATACACTATTCACAAGATAATTAATAAAATCCATAAAGTTTAGTCGACTGAATGAATCTTTTCAAGATCAATGTCGTAAACAAACTTGGACTCTTTTTCGATTTTCACAAGCAAATCTCTGAAGTAACCGGAACTGATCTCTGCATTCCTGATTTCTTTCTCGAGCTTCTCCTTCTCACCGCTTCTTCTATCAATGCTAGTTTGGAAGTTGTTCATCACTTGCCTAGATGGGAAATTCAACACCTGCCTGCATTCCTTGGAGACTCTGTCAGCATTAACATGAGCATAGTCCATCTCGAGAACCTGCTTCTTGAGTTTCTTGGCTTGCTTTCTTGGGAAAGCGTTTGGAATGTCATTGATGAGATACACGACAGTAAAACCACCAACGAAAATAGCCAAGGGTAAGATGACCTTCTTTGCCACGGAGGGTTTGAGCAACCCAGACAAGGTGTATGCCTTTCTAAGAAGGGCACCAGTCGTAAGCAACTTTGTGGAAGAGTACAATGTCTGTAATGTGAGCTGAGTGGGCAATTGCCTTTTTAATGAGTTGACAGATGTGGGTATGGTGGTCAAAATATGAGTAGGGGAAAGAATCTCCACTTGCTGCTTGGTTGTTGAGATGATTTCACTTGGTATTCCAATCCAGGTGAGAACGGAGTTGAATGATGGGTCAAAGAAGTCAGAGATTTCAATCTGATCATCCAACTGCCTTTTAATGGTATCACGTCTCCTGGTAAACATTAAATCTGCCTTAAAGACCTTATCCGATAAGAACTCGTCGCCAAGGGTGCTTTGCCCAATCGTTACAATCTCCTGAACACTTTTCTCAGTCAAGGCTCTAGCTTTACCCTCACTGGCCTGGACAGAGGAAACAATAGTGTCAATCATACGACGCTGGGTTTCTTTAGCGTAATCGTAAACAAATTGCAAGCCCCCATAAGGAACGATTTGAGATGAGCCGAAATTATCCACTGTTGATAAGATTTCACCTTTGGTAGCGTTGTAGACCGCTGTGCATGTCTTCTCGATTAGCTTAGTGATCTTATCATTCATCTGAACAGAATCTTGAATCATCTGATCATATTTGGGAGCCACCTTGGTGCGTAGTTCATTCTGTTTCCTCTCAATTTCCTTGCGGTAGATATCGCCGTTGATATCCGAGAGCGTCTTAAGGTCCGCAAGAATATTAAGAATGTAGCTCTTGGCAGGAAGTAACTTTGAAATAGATCTTTTGTCAAGGAGGAACTTTCTAAGCGAATTCTCAAGGTGGTCGAAGTTGGGGTCATCAAAATCGGGGCCACCGTTGTCACCTGGACCGTCGTCTCCGCCATCACCACCATCATCAGGAAATCCTTTAAGGACCTCCGAAGAGCTCACAAAATGAACAAAATCTTTCGCATCCTTGTGAGTGTAGGGTGATAAGTTCTTCACCTGGTCTAAGATACGAGACATACACTTGTTCTTGTCTTTGATGTTGTCGAAGCGGTTGACAACAATGAAGACATAGCGCTTCTCGGCAGCAGCAGCAGCGATGAATTCCTTTGCTGAAAGTGTGAAATGGTTTTCTGAGTTCACGACAAACACGACCAAGTCAATCTCCTCTTGTCTAGAGAAGACTTGCGTTGTTTGATAAGAATCCATGTTCAAGCCTGGGGCATCTATGAGTTTGACGTCAATGACACCATTACCCAAAAGACTCTCTTCTGCCTTTCTATAATCAAGCACGTACACTTTCAAAAGACTGTACTGGTCACACTCGTAAACAAGGTCTTCTAGCTTGTTGAGTGGGTGTCTCTCATAAGTGAATTCATCGGATCTATCGTAGTCTTTGCCAATCGGCACAGCGTGGACTTCCTCTATGCTCATGTTCACCTTTGCAGCATCGATCACCTCGCAGAACACGGACGTACAAGGCTGCTGGTCCTCGGGGAGAACTCTTCTTTTGAGAAGGGCATTGCAAAAAGTAGACTTACCAGCATTCAAGTCTCCAGTGACAAACACTTTTGAGGAGGTATCATCCACACGATCCTTGAGGTTGAGCAAGTACTTTATCTGCTGAGAAAACTTCTGGTCAAGAAGCATCGAGACGGACTTTTTGTCAAGATTATCCATGAGGTGGGCACCTGAGTGGCCCATCTTCAAATTCAACTTGAGTACCTTGAAGTCAGCCATCTTTACTTCCTTGAGATCTTCATCACCCGCCAAGTCAACGCCGTCTAGATCGCCAACTTTAGCCTT